CATCGAAGACACTGCAAGCCTCCAAGCGGACATAAACCAAATCTTCAAATGGGCCACTCAAAACAATATGAAGTTCAATGAAGAAAAATTTCAACTACTCAGATATGAAAAACTTGAGGAAATTAAAACTATCAGGGTATAAGACAAATTTTAACTACACAATAGAGCAAAAAAGTGATGTGAAGGACCTGCGAGTGATAATGTCAGAGAATCTTGCCTTCAAAGACCACAATAATGTATCAACTGCATCTGCTAGGAAAATGATAGGATGGATAATGAGAACCTTCAAAACTAGGGATTTTAAGCCCATGATGATCTTCAAATTGCTTGTTCTCTCTAGGCTGGAATACTGCTGTGCACTAATTGCCCCCTTCAAGGCAGGGGAAACTGCTAACCTGGAGAGTGTACAAATAACTTTAACGGCACACATAAGTACGATAAGGCACTTAAATTACTGGGAACAGTTGAAGACCCTCGATCTGTGTTCCCTGGAGCACAGGCAAGAGAGATACATGATAATATACACTTTGAAAATCCTAGAGGGATTAGTACCAAACTTGCACACGAAAATCACTCCCTATGAAAGCAAAAAACTTGGCAGGAGATGCAGCATTCCTCCAATGCAAAGCAGGGACGCCACGAATACAATGAAAGACAGCACAATAAGTGTCCAGGACCCCAAGACTGCTCAACTGCCTCCCAGCATACATAAGAGGGATTACCAATAAACCCCTGGCTGTCTTCAAGAAGGCACCTAAAGTCAGTACCTAACCAGCCGGGCTGTGGTTCGTATGTCAGTTTGCGTGTGGCCAACAGTAACAGCCTGGTTGATCAGACCCTGATCCACCACGAGACCTGGTCTCAGACCAAGCCACGGAGGCGTTGACCCCCGAAACCCTCTCCAGGTAAACTCCAGGGCTCCTTTCTGCAGCAGCACCTTCTTACGATCCTGCCTTGTTACTGGACCATTCTTCAGACCTTTTAATGCCCCTATATCTTCTGCAGGTGACATTTTGTTGCACACTCCTGATACCGAATCTCAGCCTGACTCCTTTGACACATCTGACCTCTGCTCATCTTTGACCATGCATCCGGCTTCTTCCCATAAAAGTGCAACGATTTTCAGATCTCTCACTCACCTCACAACGGACCGCCTCCAGTTCCACATCTAAATGACCATGACCCTTCTCTAACGACACTGCTTTAAATGCCTGTCACTCTATTTAGAAAAGACCAATGCAACACACAAATGGACTAAGTTTTCACTCTGCAACCGACATCCCCCACTGACTATCTTTCTGATCATAGTATCAGGAAGGCGCTCCTACGCTATACTGGTCAAAATATTTTATGTTCTCAAGAGTGGTGCATGCATCATGGTACAAAATGCTGGCCAATCTCACAAACTTTCTCTCCTTACCTGTAACAATCCAAAAACACATTTCTTTCAATTCTTGTAGCGTACCGCCCCCTCTGCCTCATATCATTGTTCAGCATGATTTTCCAAACATGTGGTGACGACATTCTGGAGCAACTTGAGCTCTAAGACCTCCCAATTCTCAAAGTGAACATATATGTACTACCTGCCCATGGGCGGAGATGCTTCCCCTGCAATATAGCTCACTTAACTTTTGACTGCCATGAGCTTCTGTCCTTGGTTTATATTGCAGGACACTATTTAAAAGTCTGAAAGTTGATCCCTACACCACAAAGGGTAGAATTTGTTAGCACTTCAGCCACCCGGTGAAATATTGCAGGTCCATGACAGAATGCCAAGTCTGTGGTGTTGCTGACCATACCAATACATCCTGCAGCCTACCTCCCTCTTGCCTTAATTGTAATAAGGCCAAGTTTGCTTAAAAGAACGAGAAATTCATTGTCTCAAAGAGAAAGGTTTCACGTATGCCATAGCAGTTTCTCTTCTCCGCCTCCAAGGGAACTTCCATGACGTTCTTGTTCTATTACTAAGAGGCCTCTAACCTCAGTGGTACTTCCACAATCTCCTATGCAGCCACAACTTCCACAGTCTGTATCTAACTCTTTTGTAGTCCTGGACTCCGAGGTCCCTACCTCATCACCTCATCTTCTTGCTCGCATGTTTCTATGTTTATGAGACCACCCACTACTATATCTTCCCTTTGCTTCTTTTTTCCAAAGTCTAAAACATTCCCAAAGTTCAAATCTTTAACCCCTCGTTCACTTACCCTTCCCATACATTTTTCCTTTCTAGTCTCTGTGCCTAGTTCTTTACCCATTACCGGCTCTGTTACGAGTGTGGAGGTTCATCCTCTCTCTCTTGTACAGTAGCCTCCTCTCCTGTTCCCTTCCACGTTTCTTCCTCTCCTATCCCCTCCCAAGTTTCTTCCCAAGTTAACTCTAACCTCTCATCTCACCCTTCTTTGGTAACTTCCATCACCTCTCTGATCTTTACTCCCCATCCCCCTTCTATCTCTAATGCCTGTAACTTCCTTGTCCTGAGACACATGAAGCTATCTCTGAATATACTGAGGAGACAAAACCAATGATGGACACCAATCCACCTCCCATCACTCCTCCTCACTCTTCTAAACCATCTACACAATCCTTCGCTGCTTACTCATATTCTGCTACCTCTACATGTAGACTTTACTAACCCAACTAGCCCATAGACACACTGCTTCATGTTACCGGTATACTTCTCTTCGCAAATCACGACTTGTTTACAGTGGAATATTCGAGGCCTCAGGTGCAATTGGGGTGAGCGTCAGGTGTTGCTCTCTCAGTTTTCCCTGTTTGTCTCTCTTTACGAGAACCTAAATTACACTCCGCTCTTATCCATCCCATCTCAGGCTATGTTTTATTGCATTCGTCGGAACCTTTTCCTGATGGAACTTTTAATGAAAGTGCACTTCTTATATGCAGTAGTATGCAGATGCAGGGTTATGTATCTAGATGCAGGCTGCATTACACTGCAGCCTGCATCTGCTTGAACAAATGGTATACAGTGTGTTCTTTGTATTTCTCCTTCTTGAGCATTATCTATTCCAGATGTTGTGTTTCTGGTTTCTTCCTTACTGCCACCTCTTCTGTTATTATGTGATCATTTCCTCTGGGGGGACTCTCACTGTGACTCTCGTGGCAATCATTTTAGAGGCTCTTCTCACTTCTCTTTCCCTCCATGTTTTAAATACAGGTACTCCCACTCATTTTGACACCTCGCATTCAATCTCTCTCTCTCTTGCATTGATCTCTCAGTTTGCTCCTCATCAACTGCACTTGACTTTACCTGGTCTGTGCTCCCAGATTTACATGGCAGTGATCATTTTCCTATCCTCCTTACTTCCCATTCATATTTTTTGCCCTCCTTAAATCCTTCACTCATCTTTCGTGGGGGGCAGATCGTCGAGCTCTACTTTGACTGCATTCAGCCCAAATTTTATTGAAATTAGAGTACAGTGACCAGGTATATTCTGTGGTCTCTCCTGCAACTCTTTCTAAGCTTGATCCCATCCATCATCAGAGATTATGTTTATGTCTAGGTGTTTTTCGCTCCTCACCTATAGAGAGCCTATATGCAGAGGCAAATGATCCATCCTTGAATGATTGCCATGATGCTCATTACCTCAACTATTTTGTCCATTCTCATGACTTTCACAATCCTTCTACATACAGGATAGTAACTTAAGTTAATAGAAGTCCATTATTTGTTCACTGCCCTTGTTTACTCCATCCCTTTTTATCTCTTCGCCTCACTTGCCATCTAGGCATCTAACCTTTCTTTTTCCCCTGGGAGGATCCGACAGTTCGTGTCTGTTCTTCCCCACTGCTGTGAGCAAAAGCCCAAATACATACAATTGCTTCTTGCTCTCTTTTTCTTAACCACTTCCGGTCTCATTCTCATGCCGTTGCAGTTTACACTGATGGTTCTAAATCCTCTGACAGTGTCGGGTTTGAAGCACTGTTCCCCCATACAGCATAGTGAGAGGTCATTTATTAGACTCTGCTAGTATTTTTACAGATGAATTGTAGACAGTTCTCACTGCAATTATCCGTACTGCATCTATGCCTACCTCGACGTTTGTAGCACTCTCAGACTTCTTTAGTGCTTTGCAAGCTATTAAAAATTTTATTCACCTTACCCCCAGTTCATCGTATACAACTTTGGTTGTGCCGCATTTCTAGCAAAAACAAAAAATTCATTTTTTGCTGAGTCTCTGGTTATTTGATGTTCAAGGCAACAAGCAAACTCTGCTACACAGTCAGTGGTATATGACCTCCCAGTTTCGTATAGAGATATTTCATTCTCTATTTTGCTGTAATCTCTAACCACCACTGCAACTGTTGGCAACACAGTTGGTCCGATATGACTCATAACAAATTATATTCTATCAAGCCAAGTTTAGGTTTCTGGCCTTATCATGGATGCCGAGGTTGGGAAACAACACTTTCCCATCTTCGCATTGGGGACACTCATCTTACTCATGGGTATCTTGTGGAGAGGCGCCCTGTTCTACTCTGTGAGAATTGTCAGGTTTCAATTTCAGTTTATCATATTCTATTGGACTGTCCTCTCTTTCAATGAACATGCAGACGTCCTCACTGCTCTAACACCCATACTTTATCTTCCTTCTTTGTTGACATCCCCACCTTCGACTCAAAAAATCCACTCTGACTTTTTTGACAGCAACCAATTTATTAAAATACACCTTGACAATACTTCCTTTAGCACTCCTCATAGCCCTTTCTAACTCTACCTCTGTTATCCTCTCCACCCTTACTACTATGATCCTGCAAACACCCCCTCCCCCGTAACCTTTTATGACCCTAGTGAGCTTAGCGCTTGGTTCTGATTATAATTAAACGAGTGCTCTAGAGCACTCAGCTCTGCAAGAATAGTTATCTGTACTAGTAACTAGTAGGAGGATGCTGTATGACCCTTATGGGATTTAGCAGTTAATTGTGATTATAATATAACTATAAGAAGAGCTTTAAAAGTATATACAAAAATATTAAATCTTTACCTTGAGTTTATCCAGTGGAACCATTTCATCAATTTGCCGGGGAAATTCACCAGAATTCTCTACTTTCCAGGATGGTAGAGGAGATAACTCTTTGGAAACACTTTCAATGGTAGAGCCGTATCGCTCAAGGTAGTCCTTCATACCTGTAGCAGAAAACAATAGGTAAGTATGGTGCTTAAAACGGTAGTCTGAAACATGCGACCCTTATGAAAATGTCAAAGACTTGGATTATCTTAAATTAAATCATCATAATGTAATTTAATAAATAAATAAATAAATAATATATATATATATAAAATATATATATATATATATATATATATATATATAAAGGGCCACAGAGCGACCAGCTTCCTCTTTCAGAGACTCGGTGTTGCGATCCAGAGAGGAAATGCCTGCAGCATTTTGGGCATGCGGCCCACCACCGGGGAGCTGGACAAAGTATTCGAGATGTAGCTCTGAGTTGTCCATCTAGGTTGTTTTTACTTTCTATTGTATTTTTGTGAATGTTTTGTCAATGTATTTTGTCTTTAAATAATATATATATTAAATATAGGGGGTGGTCGGAGAAAATTCTCAAACAGCTTCAGGGAGAACCTCGGGTTTTCCCTGAAGCAAGTTTATTCTTTTCTCTGAGGATGAGGGTCCCCAGGACAGTTATATATATTTTAAAATAATATATATATATATATATTATTAAAAATATATATTAATTGTCGGGGCCGAATATGTGGAAACTGGTCAATTAGCAAGAACTCTTTTTAAAATTAAGTCCTTTCTAAAATTTTCTCCTATACGTTTAAAGATATATTTTTTTCATTAATTTTTGATGTAAAAATATGTAATTTTGCACCAAAAGGAATTTAAAGAAAATTTAAACCTAACCTTATTATAACAAGAAAAATTTTTATTTTAGCCTAACCCAACTAAATATATTTTAGATTTGTTTACAATACTTTAATACTAAACAAACCCAGTGAAATATATTTTTTCGTTAGGTTCAAATGATTTTGGGAAATTATTTCATACACAAATTTTTTCACTTGTCCTATATGGAAATGAACGTTGCTATTTAAGCCAAGAACGCAAGTTCTGCGTATTCGGCAACATATAATATATATATATATATAATATATATAAAAATATATATATATATATATAATATATATATATTTATATATATGATAAATAGACCACATGTGCAACTCTTTGGTATCCTCAATAAAGATACCCAAGAGTTGCACATGTGTCCCAATTTATCAACGTGTTGGTTCTCTGAACCATTCATCTACAATTCATATTATATATATATAATACTATATATATATATATATAATATATAAATATAGCAAAACAACCACTCTGAAAGAATAGAGAAATTCCAAGCGCTTTCGTGACTACTCACATTATCAAGGAACTATGAAAGTAAAGCATCCAAGGAAGCTATATAAGGGGTCTGGCCAGCACCTCACTATCAATCCCACAACGGTTTTAAAAACCTGACGCGCGCCGACCCAACTTGGATAGGTCCTTTGCACAACTCACCCCACAAACTATCCCAAGAAAATTTAAAAAAATTTTTTGTCCAGTGATTTTTAATTCTTCCCAAAATTTCTATTAATTATAAATGGGTCTAAATTTTTATAAACCAAAGGAAATATTCATATATATATTATATATATATATATAAATATATATTATATATATATATATATATATATATATAATATTATATATTCCATGGGGAAGTGGGAAAAGATTCTTCCTCCGTAAGCCATGGGGTGTTGTAAGAGGCGACTAAAATGCCAGGAGCAAGGCTAGTAACCCCTTTTCCTGTATAAATTACTAAATTTAAAAAGAGAAACTTTTTTTTTTTTCTTTTTGGGCCACCCTGCCTCGGTGGGATACGGCCGGTGGGGTTAAAAAAAATATATATATATATATATATATATATATAAAAATAATATAAAATAAAATTTAATATATATTTTATATATATATATATATAATAAATATATATATATATTATATATATATATATATGGGGTGTATATAATATATATATATATAATATATATATAAAATTTTATATATAATATATATATATATATATATATATATATATTCTTTTTAAAGCACCGGCCGTATCCCACCGAGGCAGGGTGCCCAAAAAGAAAAACAAAAGTTTCTCTTTTTAAATTTAGTAATTTATACAGGAGAAGGGGTTACTAGCCCTTGCTCCTGGCATTTTAGTCGCCTCTTACAACACGCATGGCTTACGGAGGAAGAATTCTGTTCCCCACTTCCCCATGGAATAATATATAAAAAATATATATTTTATATATATATATATAAATATACTATATATATATATATACCCACAACATCAATGCACTTTAAAACATGGTAAAAGTTATGTTTTTATCCATAAAATCATTTGTAGATTGTCTTCAAACTCTTCAGTTTCACTTTTGAGTTTGAGATTTTTTTTTTTATACAAGTAAACTATACACAACACAACGAAACTATGTTCGTATTGTTGTTGCTGTTCTTTTGTATTTACATTGTTTTAAACATATTCCGTTTCTAATATTTTATAACAAATTTACGCTATCAATATTGACTTGCTACTCTTGCAAAGTTGTCTTCTCAGTCACCAAGACTGTACTTGTGAGTAACATCTCCTCCTCCTCCCTTTACACCCAAGGACTTCGTTTATTGGCAGTTTGGAGCTTGGAGTAACAGTATATTGAACATAAGAATGAAAACTTCACAGCCCCTTCTGAAGTACTTTAATCTCTGTCAAGAAGAATAAGGAGGTAAAAGAAACGTAGCTAAATGCAGGTGTTATGGAAAGAAAATTAAGACTTCTGTGAAGGCTTATTCAAACTTTGTTATACATAAGAACATAAGAAAGAAGGAACACTCCAGCTGGCCTACTGGCCCATGCGAGGCAGGTCCAAGTCTCCTACCGGCTTAAGCCAATGACCCAACCTAGTCAGGTCCGGTCACATTCACTTAAGGAAGGAGCACGGCATCAGACCTAGTAACACAAGCTAGTCAGGTCCAACTCACACCCACTCGTGTATTTATCTATTTTTAAAACTGCACAACGTTTTAGCTTCTATACGGTACTCGAGAGTTTGTTCCACTCATTCACAAATCCATTACCAAACCAGTGCTTTCCTATATCCATCCTGAATCTGAATTTTTCCAACTTAAAACCACTGCTGCGAGTCCTGTCTTGGCTAGATATTTTCAGCACGTTATTTACATCCCCTTTATTTATTTCTGTTTTCCAATTATACACCTCAATCATATACCCCCTAATTCTATGCCTTTCTAGAGAGTGCAGATGCAGGGCCCTCTGGTGGCCTGGTGGTTAACGCTCTCGCTTCACACGGTGAGGGCCTGGGTTCGATTCCCAGCCAGAGTAGAAACATTGGACGTGTTTCTTTCTCACCTGTTGTCTATGTTCCCCATCAGTAAAATGGGTACCTGGGTGTTAGTCGACTGGTGTGGGTCGCATCCTGGGACACTGACCTAAGGAGGCCTGGTCACAGACCGGGCCGCGGGGGCGTTGACCCCCGGAACTCTCTCCAGATAAACTCCAGATATCCTCATAGGCAAGATTTCTGATACATGGGATCAACTTTGTCATCCTCCTTTGTACGTTTTCCAGAACATTTATGTACATTCTGTAATATGGTGACCAAAACTGTGCAGCATAATCTAAATGAGGCCTAATTAAAGATACATAGAGCCGAGGAACAACCTGAGGACTCCTATTATTTATGCTTCTTGATATGAAACCAAGGATTCTGTTCGCTTTATTGGCAACACTTATGCACTGTAGTCTTGGTTTTAGATTACTGCTAACCAGAACTCCCAAATCCTTTTTGCAATCAGTAATATTAAGATCTACATTTAGTTTATACGTGGCATGGTTATTTTCCTGTCTAATGTTTTAAATTTTGCATTTATCTATATTAAACTGCATCTGTCACTTCTCCAACCACTGCATCAGTCTATTCAATCTTTCCCTGGATGCTCTAAGTCCCTTCAGTCAAATGAATTCGTCCCTATTTGGTGTCATTGGCAAATTTGCTTATATCACTATTATTCCCTATGTATGGTCATTTAGGTAGATTGTTCCACAGGGGCCAAATACTGACCCCTGTGAAACACTGCTTGTGCTTCCCCACTCTGATTTCTCCCCATTTATGCAAACTCTCTGCTACCTATCTGTCAACCATGCCTCTATCCAGGAAAAAAACCTCTTCAAGGGGAGCTCCTTGGCATGGTGAAGAGGCCTTTTGTTTGAGGAATTAGACCTTTTGGTCTCCTTCCTCAGACCAAACCTAATTACCCCCAATCCCCCCTTCCCGATCCCATCCTCCCCTTTTCCTTTTCTTCCTCCCTCCCAACCCTCCCTTTTCCCCCATCCCATTTATAGCCTTTGGGGTCCTCCCCTCTGGCATTACAGTTTCTAGGTAGGGGGAAGTATGCCGGGGTTCATCCCCCTCCGTGTGGTCCCTCATGAGTGGTATAGTTTGCCATGGAATCTGGATCATCTGGAGGTGCCCTGCTCCCTTCCCAGATTTCCAGGAGGTGGGGCGGGGTGTCCTGCAGGTGACGTGTGTATCTCCAGAGACTGACTGTCGGTTCTGGGAGGTGGCAGCCGAGGGAGGTATGCTTTATGGGGGGTATGTAATCACCCTCTCTTTTGTCTACCAAGGTGGTTCAGTGGATATAAGGTTGCTATCCTGTAGCGCTGGTTTCCTGGTGTAAAGGGTAGGGTATGGCATATGTTCTATGCTCATCTGTGTTGCTGGCAGTTTTGAGGTCCTCTTTGATGACGGGAGGAACTTACGACCCTTTCATGCCTTCTAGTAACTGTCCCTCTTTTTTTCCTTTTTTTTTTTTTTAGAATAACAATAAGAAGTGCCACCATCATGGAGTCTTTGTTCCATGACCCCCCCCCCCCCGTCCTCCTCCCAGGCCCCTTTTTGTTACTGCATCCTGTTGTGATCCAGCTTCATTACTGGACCATTCTCCAGACTTTTCGAATACCCCTGTACCTTCTACTGGTAATGCTTCATCACCTGCTCCAGGTGCCAAGGCTCCACCCATTTCTTCAAGT